CTTCTTTCATTACATTCTTTCTTGTACGTTTTAAAATCTTCAGAAAAATTGAGCAAGAGTTTTCGTACAGGAGTACATTTATTACGGACGTTCAATTCTTAATTGCGATAATTCATAAGTGACTGGTGATTTCTAAAGAGTCCCAACGTAAAAACGTATTAAGTGATTATAAAATTTGCTTCACATCTGTGTTTATGGTTGTAGTCATGGCGTTTGTATGTAATATATGAAACACGAAAGACCGTGTTTGACCACATTTCCAAACACCGAGAAGAGAGTTGAAAATACGACGCGCAGCGGAGTATTTTTGACGAACTTCGATGTGTTTGAAAATGTGGTCAAACACTGTCTTGATTGTTTGATAAATCTCCTCAATCGGAACCAAAACTAGGGAGAAAACGGAGAAATAAAATCGTAAAAATCTGTGCTAATTAAGATCAGATATCCGAACACTGTCACGTTCATGATTTCCTTTCTTTAAACATCATGAATTATTAATGAGTTTGAGAAGTAAAATTCAGACACTAATGTTGCAGAAGGGTTGGTAAAGTTGCACTGATTTATGAACATTGTGGATGCAGTTTGAATTGGGGAAACTGCTTATTTCTTTGCTTACTACAGAACAATCTTAAATTTGTGTTTTTGTAGAGAAGTAAGCCAGTTTTGTCTTATTAATGAAGGTTGACGAGTTCATTTTTCCTCCTTTCTTAGGCTGCTCTATCAGGCGCTAGTATGAAGGTGAGTCTGTGATTTTTTTCTTCTCGCTTCAAACCACTAGTCCTATAAAACCAATTATGAAATAAGAAAATTTCAAGTTTCATTAGGCAGTTGGAAACGCTTGAGTCCTCGTTAAGGCCATTGTGAAATATTTGTGGTGGGGCACTTTGTTCTAACAGTGCTTCCCCCCCGCCAAGTAGTATGGGGCAATATTACAAAATGCCGGAGGGTGGCCTGCGATGGGCTAGCATCCAATCCGAGATGGGGAGAAGTAAAACTCCTTTTCGCTACATGCTACAGAAATCAGGTTTAAGCACTAACTCTGATTTAGAGAATTAGAACGGACTTAACCCTCCAGCTTACATGCACATCTATCTCAGCAATTTTTGCACAAATTTGTGAAGGTGTTGAAAGTGTTTTTTCTATATACATGTATTTATCAACAATATTGATTTTATCTCTAGGAGCGTGAACGTATCCGTTGTGTTGAGTGTATTGGACATGTGTTATCTGTACAAGACACTGCTGGCGCATTGGAAC